ACGGTAGAGCTGGTAAAGATGATCTCTTTGTGAGAGCTGCTGCTGCTTCTGGACTAAAGCTGATGTTTGTGCTCATCCTTGGAGCTGAGGCCACCCCGTGTACTGCTCCTGAGGCTGCAGAAACCGCTTTTGCTTAAATAATGTGGGTCTTCCCTTCGTTTCTCACCCTGCCCGGTGCGCAGTGGGGTTGGGCTGCAAACACAGAGCAGCAGAACTGTGTCCTCCAGAGTGAAGCTGTGAGGGGCGTTCACTTGTGAGCTGCAAACGGCTGCAAAATCTGAATTTCAGAAACAAAACGCCTGACCATTTTTAGCCCCAGAGGTTGCTTCTCAGGTCTTGCATGTGTGTCCTTCCCCGTCTGCCCAAGGCCGAGCGGAAGGGAGCCAGGCTTCCCATCCTCCCTGTAAAGGAGCATCCTTCTTGAGCTCTGGGCTGTGTCTGGGTCTGCAGGGAGAGGGATGTTCCCAGATTGGTGGCTTCCCCCAAGAAAGGTGCCACAGCTGGAATCTTGTGCTTCAGCTGCCTGTTGACTTGCCAGCTCCATTTACTGCATAATTCATTTTGTTCTCAGGGATAGGTAAAGGGTTTTTCTGAAACTGTGTAAACAACAGTTTAATTCTTCCTGTGTGTTCCAGGATGGAAACGCCACTGGAAGCGCTGCAGGACTTTGAAGCCAAGTAAAACGCTGTCATCCCGCAGTCTTCAGGATGAAGAACAGCTCTTCCTTAGTCAGCCTGATTGTATTATCCTGTTGGACAACCTGGATTAGGTTTGGCCTGTGCAACTCTCTCATCCTTGCTGTCAGCAGTGATACAGGAACGTGTCTTTCAAAGCAACAACCTACAGACAGTCTTGGAGAAAGCACTAAAGCAGAAAGCACTAATGCTTTCATGAGGGAAAGGAAAATGACCAGTTTGTTCCTTAATGTAAAGCAGAGCCCTGTCTGGTTGTAAACATTTGGCAGGAATAAAACTGTAAAGCAGATGCCTTAAGGGAAAATAAATAAATCCTGGGCTCTTTCTGCAGAATGAGCTGCAGAGTTAAGCTAACCCCAACCCTTGCCTCTATGTATGGGAGTCTGTACAAAGGCATGTGATGTTTTGCTGTCACCACCATTTCTGTTGTCCAGCTCATTGAATTTTCCAGAGCTGAGCTTTCTACCGTAAAATCTGTTAAAGTAAAATAATAGTAGGGAACAAGGGAAAAAGGATGGGGTGCTATGGAGAGCACTCTGCAGAGCAGCACAGCTTGAATCGTTTGCTGTTAGGGAGCAGGGCTTATACCTCAAGGCCCTTATAGCATCCTAGAATGCTTTGGGTTGGAAGGGACCTTAAAGATCATCTGGTTCTAACCCCGCTGCCATGGACAGGGACACCTTCCACTAGACCAGGTTGCTCAAAGCCCCATCCAACCTGGCTTTGAACACTGCCAGGGATGGGGCAGCCATGCAATTAAGAACTTCTTCCCTGGAAATGCTTGCTCCAAGCAGCACCTGGAACACAGTGGTGCTGCTTCACCAGCTTTGCCCTCCTTTTGCACCTGCAGCAGATGTTCAAGCACCTCTGGCCTTCCCCATCAGGTGTTTCACTCAGCACAGGCAGTCTGGACCAAGACTCCCACCCCATGGCCACCCTTTTGGCACAGGCTGGCTCCCGTACCTGTGTGAAGTGGATGCTGTGCCTGTGAAACCCCTGTCTGCAAATTCAGGGCATGTGTTCAAATGCTTTCTAAGAGCTGTCTCCTTCCTGGCTTTCTCTTATGGTGGGTTGAAAGACCAGGCAAGCCCATGCCAGGTACTGCCCAAGGCCCTGGTCTAGTGGAATGTGTCCCTGCCCGTGGCAGGGGGTTGGAACCAGATGAGCTTTAAGGTCCTTCCAACCCAAACCATTCTCTGTTTTCTGGTAGGTGACACGTGTGTGTGTGCAAGTAGCAGAGTGCTGCCAACACATTTATTTCTGCTGGACAAGGTGCCATCCCTGCTGTGTCACCCTGCATGGGGAAAGGGAAGGCAGGAGCCAGGTGGCTCTGCCACCCACAAGGCTTGGCGCCACTGTGGAAGCGGGGTGGGGGGTCAAGGCTCTTGTGTCTGCGTTGTATCTGCAAACACAGTGATGGTGTCAAAACCGGGCATGGGACCAAAGCCGTGTTGTGCCAGCTGCCCCATGCTGAGGGGAGACCAGCACCATTCCCACTTGGTTTTCTGTCACTTCAGATCTCTGTTCAGCTAAAGCTTTCTGGGCAATGTGATAGTGGCACGATGAAAGTCTGTCATGAAATGCTAAAATCTAGAGGGATATGGGTAAGAGAAACCACAGAGTTGCTTGAATGTTACTCAGAATATTTTAATGTACATGCTGCCACATTAAAGAAGCGGAAAAAGCATCTTACAGAGATGATAGATGTCAAAGGATGCAATTTCATCATGCCAGAAGCTGTACGTTTCCAAATGACTGAAGCCAATAACATCAAAATAGCTCTTTTTCTGGCATGTGAAAACCAAACAAGTACAGAAAAGGGAAGAGCAAACACATATTTAATGGATAGATTAAGCTGTTCTGATCCATCAGATGACAAAGCATTCTTGTGTTTGCGGGGGGTCTTAACAGGTAAAAATTTGGTATAAGTAATACTTTAAACAGTTCTATCTGTATATTCCTAGCAGGCTGGAACAGCTGTAGGATGTTGGGTAGGTATTTAGATATTTACAGAGAACAATGACTGATGTAGACCATGACAGTATGAAACCCTACCAGACATGGCATTTGAGTAACACGACAGTGAACATCAGCTACAGGTGCATGTGGTACCTGCCTGTTACAAGGGGAAAGCTGCAAGTTCAGCAGCCTGTGACTATCTGTGCTTACAGTACCAACCCAGCCCCACTTTCAACCCTGCCTTCCTCAGTGTGGGGTGAGGAAGGCGCTCAGACCCCTGCCAAAAGCACCTCTCTTACGTCCCCTAATTGTCTCAAGCCCCTATGTCGTGGTTTAAGCCCGGCCAGTAACTCAGAACCACGCCGCCATGGTGAAAATAAGGACGAGATTCAGCTGAAGGACTTCCGAACTCCACTGGCCAGAGGTAGGTCTCAGCTACTTTCCAAAGCACTTGTTGCAGTCAGTGGAAACTTTGGTAACAGAGGTTAAGCCCAGCCTACAGTAGATCCCTAAGTCTAGCTGGCTTCTAGGCTGATGATAAGAGTTTAGACATGGCCTGTGTGTGGACATCTACTACCTGGTGGTTCCTTTGGCAGTGTCCTGGCAAAGCCCTGTTCCTTAGTCACTGTCAGATTTGTCTCTCACCAGGCCCAAAAGTATCAACAGGAGGGGGACAGCTGCTTGCCCAGAGACAAGTGCCTACTTTGAGCATCTGTACTCACCAGAGCAATGGTCTCTGTTTATTTCATTGTTCAGCCTAATGAGCATCTGCACAAAATGTAACATGGCTTTCCAAACGGCTGTTGGGCAAGAGAGCCTGGAATACAGCAGGATATCACCTGCATAATCCACCCTCTTCTCTGTGGGTTTCTTACTAGTTTTCTAACAGACCACCTATTCCCGTTTGCTGTTAGGGCTCCTAAACCAAGGCTGATGACAACTAAAAGGCAGAACACTGCCCATGGTAATCATAGAACCATAGAATGGTTTGGGTTGGAAGGGACCTCAAAGCTCATCCAGTTCCAATGCCCTGCCATGGGCAGAGACACCTTTCACTAGACCAGGTTGCTCCAAGCCCCATCCGACCTGGCCTTGAACACTGCCAGGGATGGGGCAGCCACAGCTTCTCTGGGCAACCTGTGCCAGTGTCTCACCAGCCTCACAGGGAAGAATTAAGTAATACCTAATGGTGCTGGAGGATCCAGCCCCCATGGCATAGATGCTGAACAGCCTCTGCTACTCCATACGTTTCAGGTCAGTGAGGTACCACAGGATAAAAGTAACACAGAGAAAGCTACACGGCAGAAAAATACTGCACAGAAAAATGACAGCCAGTATCTTCCCAGGGGGAGAGTATTGAGAGAAATCCTCTCGGTGGGAGGGAGAGAAGCCTTGAAAGAAACTGGAAGCAGCAAGGTAGGAGAGGCTAAGAGGGGTGCGTAAGAGGTAAATCCCGAGGTTGCAATGTGATAGAGCAAGAAACCTCAGTACTGTTCTGCCCTGCATGTCACAGCAGGCTGAGTGGACTGGACCTGTGTATTCATCTCAGATCCAGACTGCTGGCTGCTCTGCAGTGAGCAGAAAAGCAACCAGCACAACCAGCCTCCTGTCAGCAAATGTGGCCTTGGTTCTCCCTAACAGAAGCACGGCAGTTCAGAGTAAAGCTGGCAGTAAGTAGTGAAGGGAGCTGGAATAGGCATCCTTAAATAAAATAAAGAGGAAGAACACATAGGCCTAGAGGCAAGAATGACTTTGGAACACAGGGTTTGTTCTCCCTGTTCACAGAAACCCCCCTGGGGGAGAAAGCTGGTGGGAGGCAGGGACAGTCTGTCCTGCCAGCCCATGCAGGTTCTCAGCAGCCTCCCTCTGGGACCAACCACTTGCTGAGACAGAATTCACTCAAGACCCTCCATACAGGAGCTGCACACAACTGGGCCCTCTGTTCTCCGCCCAGGTTTAGTGAAGCCGTATTGTTTCAGATGCCTCTCACTAGTGAGCTTTTGGGGACTCCCTTCCATGTAAGGATTCTACCAGTGGAGACAGGGCTGTGCTGAAAAGCACAGACCATGCCAGAAAGGACATGAATGAGCACTGCATACTCTGTCAGCGTGGCCCTTTGTGCAGAGTCCAGATCATTAGAAATAATCAGACTAAAGCATCTGTGTGCACAGGAGTTTCATACATGTGCACAGGCCAAGTACATGCTGCTGCTTAGCTGTAGCCCAACCATTTCTGCAGATGCTTTGTTGTGAAAGGACAAAGATTTTGAGAAGCCCAGGTGAGCATCCATGTATTTGATCAGCTATTAAGGTAGCAAGGTACAGCTATTTATGTACCCTTTAAATATTTTTGAAGTCTGTAACAAAACCCAATCCCTTCTTGCTTTAAGTACAACGCCTGCTTAACACGACAGAGATGGGAAGAGACAACGCGTCAAGACCTGCACACACCACACACAATAAACATTCTGAGCATGACTTGTAAGAAACCCACTCCCAGTACAAAAAAGCACCCAAATGCCAGACCAAATGTCCCCCTAAGAAAATGGCAGTGTTCTATTTACAAGAAAATACTGCTTTAGTTAAAAATGCTAAAACCCATTCTCTTGAGTTCATATAAAAATAATCAGGTCTGTGTATGCACACACATATTTACATACATTTATGGCTTTCACAGGCTTCAACCTTCTCCACTGAATAAATGAGGAAGTACAAATACTCCATTACTGCTTTTTCTCCTCTTCAGGTTTTTCACCCTCTGCTTCTCCAACTGATAAGGTGCCACTACCGTATTTTTTCACTCGGGTTTCTACTCTGGCCAGTCTCTGCTTCACCTTTTGCTGAGATGAGGTGTATTCTGCTAAGAGCCTCGCAAACCTGGTCTGCAGTGTATCCAGAGCTGTTTCAAGTTTTTCTACTTTTTCTTCCAAGTCTTTTGGGTCAGCTCCTGCTTTTGCTGCTTCTTCATCTATTAAATTGTCTTTCATCAGAATTTGTCGCCCTTTCTCTTCCAGAGCCTTTTTGGCTTCTGGATATTCTGTGAGGGCTTCCATTAAATCATCTTTAGACAAGCAGAACAAATCAGAATAACCAATACTCCTTATGTTGGCTGTCCTCCTGTTGCCAGATTTGCTACCTTTGATGTTTAGGATGCTGATTTCACCGAAGTAGCTGCCATCACTTAGGACTACAAACTGGGTTATGCCGTCATCTGCCACCACAGCCAATTTTCCCTCTTTAATAATGTACATTTCTCTCCCAATATCTCCCTTTTTGCAAATGTAGTCCCCAGGACTGAAGACTGTAGGTTTCAGTTTCAGCACCAGCTCAATGAGAAGTCCAGCTTCACAATCCTGGAATATACGCACTTTCTTCAGTGTATCCAAATGGACATTGATGGCGATTTCAGCCTTCAACTTGTCAGGCAGATTTTTGAGAACTTCCTTCTCATCCACTGTTTTCTTGTTGGTCCAGAGGTAATCGAACCACTTAATAACTCTGGCTTCCAAATCCTTCGTCACTTTTCGGAAATGCATGTACTGCTTAATGGAATCCACTTTGGCCTGGAACTCTGCCCTGGAGGCATTCATGTTGGAAATCATGGAGCCCACGTTACCGACAATGGTAGCAAAGATCAGGACACCCACCAGGAAGTCAATGACCACAAAGAGATACTCTTCATCTTTCACCGGGGGAGGTGTTTCTCCGATGGTTGTCAGAGTGAGTGTTGACCAGTACAGACTGTAAATGTACTTTCTAGACAGGCGCCCGTACTCTGGGATGGACACGTTAGGGTAGACCCAAGAGTCAGTTCCAAATCCGATGAGCTTTGAAATTGCAAAGTATATACACGCATTCCAGTGGATGATGATAAGAATGTATAAGACAAGGTTTCCAATACGGAACATATTGGGATAATTCGTCCTGGTTTCAGTACGGTCAAAAAACTCAAACAGCCGAGAAATCCTCAGCAAGCGGTTAAATCGCAGCTCAGGGTAGTTCAAACCAAACTTCAGATATGCCACGTCTGTTGGCACAACAGACAGCACATCCAGTTTGAACTGCAAAGTTTTGGTATAGTGATCTCGCAATTTCTTTTCATCCTGAACTAGCAAGCCTTGTTCAAGGAAGCCTTCAAAGAATAAAAGTACATATTTTACTTGTTAGAATAAAAATGCCATCAACAGTACTGACTGACTTACATTGCAGATACCTGAGAAGATTAACACTTGTACTGATCTGCACACAGACACTGATACACTGTGAATTCATTTAATGAAAAATATTTCATTGCAAATGCAGATATTTCAGTGAAGTTTCAAAGCTGATATATAATGATAAAGAGCAATGACTCTGTGATTACCATGCTCCCTGCAGGTTCCCACTCTGTTCTGGGACAGCTGTTATCTTTTTCTTTAAGGTATGCTTGCAAAAAGAAAGGGGAGATTCAAATGTGTCATTTTTTTTGTGAATCATTGGCATGAGTCATAACTAAAATTAAGCAAGTGCTAAGCAATTGTGTGTAAAATCAGAGTGGAATATTTTTAAATACATAACAAGAAGAAGTAGGCATAATGGATTGTTGGAAATTTTTTTCCAAGCAATATAGATACCCTTGAGATAAAGAAACCCAGTTTCCTCCTCCCTGAGCCATGCTTTTCCTCTTATGTCCAATGTTACTAAGCAGAGGAAAACCAAGCTGCATGTCTTTGTGGCCTACACAACACAACTGTGTTTCTGGAATGTTTGCCTACCTCTACAGTTGCCTCATATATGTGTGCATCTGTCTTTCGCTGTCTGCAAACTAATGGTGACGACAAATGGAAGTAGTTCCTATGGCATGAATGTATTACCTCCCAGAAAGCTGCTGGAAAAGCTGCTCAAATATGCCCTTATTAACAGAATTATGCAACTAAACAGAAAAGTTGACCAGGCAGATGAATTTTGGCTCACAATTAAATTTGAAAACACCTCCCTCATGAAGGGAAATAAAAGCCCTCAGCTCTTTTTTGTCCCCTCACAAAACTGAACTCCTATATTAAAACCTTTTGAAAGCATCAAAATGCGGAGTATGCTAAACTTGATCAGCTGCGGAGGCACGAATCTTTTCTGCTGCATAGTTCACAGTCACCAAATAGGTGAAATGCAGCAAAACTGGCCCTGCAGCTAGGCAGGACTGCACCACAGAGAAGCTGTGCGGATCACAGTAGTTGCAGGGTTACCTAGATCGCAGTTCAAAGCCAATCTCTGCCTTTAGACAGCAGGGAGTCACACTCTTTCCAAAGGGCTTCCATGACCTCTGTCCCCAGGGCAGATAGACCCTGCAGACTTACAGGAAAAGGCAGCAGGCACAGAGCCAGATGGGGTTGTTAAGAGAGTCGACAAAGATTTCAGCACCCAAAAGAAGTGACTTCCTTAACTGAGTGCCTGAAACTGCAGCAAACACCTACACTGATGCATTCAGGAGATCTCTGTGGCAATTCTGCAGTTCCAATCCAGGCCTGCAAAACTGACTTTCTAACCACATTTTAATAGTCAACCATTGTCAGGACAGACTGTGGAAATGTGTGATTTACATTGCCTGGATATGCCCAATTTCTGCTTTTTTTTCCCCATTGCAATAACAAAGGTAACAGCAGAAGAGAAATCTAGTTGGCAGAGCTGACATTTCAACTACAGAAAGAAGATGAAACCCCTCCATCCTGCCACAAATACAGCAGTCCTTTGATTTAGGCTGCTGTCTGAAATAGACTTTCCTATTGAACAAGGAGGTACTTGCTAAGTTTCAGAATTTGGCTTGCCATGAGTTGTGCACTTCCCAGCGTGACAGCATTTTTAGCCTCTGTCTTATGTTTACAACTTGTCACAAACCATAATTAATGTCAAGCGGTCAACGTGATTAAAAAAAAAAAAAAGAATGAAAAAACAAAATGTAAAAATGGAAGGTTTAAAGAACTCTCATTTTGTAAAGATCAGTGTGGTTCTGGACCTCTCCAAGGGACTTTTGGGGGCTTGAGTCCATACCAGAAAGTAGAACAAGCCAGGAAACGTTTTCTGGCCCTGAGACCAGCTACCATGACAGCTTCTATTCACATGGAAGCTCTCACAGCCTCCTCCAACAATAACACCATGAACAACACCCAACCTCTGCTGTCCTTCCAGCTATGTCCAGACACTGCCCTGAGGGAGCACTACCTGTCACACATGGAACTGCAAGCACCAAAGTACCTCAAGGGCTATTGTAGCAATTTAATGATACGGATCACTGTATGGCATTGCTTAGGCCTATGTTATGACCTTATCTAGTTTAAAACAGATATCCCTTTAAGGCTAGAATCTGTACCAGCTGGGCTCTAATATAAAATCTTCTCAGCCTGTCTGGTCTACAGAAACAGGAACAGGAAGCTGGAACCCCTTCACACGTGACATGGCACAGTCCTCACAGATCCTTTAGGTTCACTCTTTCTTGAGGAAGGCAAGACCTAAACACAGGTGCTGGGGTTAATCCCATAACACCACCTTCCTGGGTTAACCCTGTAACACCACCAGGCAGTGGGAGCCCCAGCCAGGACCTCATAGAGGCTGCAGGAAATACAGCTGGTGGCAGAAGAGCAGCACTGCTGGTTGCAGGCAGAAGACTGCAGACCAGAGGCTGAGACGGGTGTCAGGTCTTGTGCTTGACTGACTCAATAATCACTTCTGAGCAGGATGCTGCACAGCTTGGCTAGGAAAGCAGCACTTGCGGGGTGCAATTGGTTTCTTGCTCCATCTAATAAACACAAGCAATATATCACACAGAGAATGACTGTGATATGGAAAGTGCCTTATGCTCCCTTCCCCCAGGCAGCCTGTTACAGTGGCTGTTTAGTCAGCGTTTGGCATGCCTATCAAGCACTGACAGAACTGAATTTAGAAAGAAGTGAAGTGCAGGTGTTGGGATGTCCAGCCTTAAAACAATCCAAGCTGGAGAGACATTTCATCTTCCCAAAGCCCCCGCTGCTGAGCTCTGCTGTAGACAGGATATTACACTGGTCAGATCCTACAAGGAATTTCTGTTTCCAGCCTTTATATCCATGTTGTATCTGAAAACACTGTAAAACCCCAGAAGAACTCACCTGTTCTGAATCTCACAAACATGTCGAAAATATAAATGATATCAGAGCCATAATCCAAAAACAGCCATAATTTAATGTGGTCCTCTTGTAGCTCATCAAAGCAGGCTCTAAAGGAGCAAAGACACACACGCACACAAAAATTACACCAACTGCATAAGCAAAGCACTTGCAATGCGTTATTGCACATTACTGGCACTGAAAAATTACAGGCAGCATATCTCCATGCCCAGACACCGGCACACTAAAGCTGTGTCTATACAGACACTAGGATCTTTTAGAATTCAAAGGTGTTCAGGCCAGGAACAAAACTTGAACACATAGAATCATAGAATGGTTAGGGTTGGAAATGACCTTAAGATCATCTAGTTCCAACCCCCCTGCCATGGGCAGGGACACCTCACGCTAAACCATATCACCCAAGGCCTTGTCCAACCTGGTCTTGAACATTGCCAGGGATGGAGCATTCACAACCTCCCTGGGCAACCCATTCCAGTGCCTCACCACCCTAACAGGAAAGAATTTCCTCCTTATAGCCAATCTAAACTTCCCCTGTTTAAGTTTTAACCCGTTAGCCCTTGTTCTACCACTACAGTCCCTAATGAAGAGTCCCTCTCCAGCATCCCTATAGGCCCCCTTCAGATACTGGAAGGCTGCTATGAGGTCTCCACGCAGCCTTCTCTTCTCCAGCCTGAACAGCCCCAGCTTTCTCAGCCTGTTTTCATACGGGAGGTGCTCCAGTTCCCTGATCATCCTCGTGGCCCTTCTCAGGACTTGTTCCAACAGTTCCATGTCCTATTTATGTTGAGGACACCAGAACTGCACACAATACTCCAGGTGAGGTCTCACAAGAGCAAAGGGGCAGGATCACCTCCTTCGACCTGCTGGTCACACCCCTTTTGATGCAGCCCAGGATACGGTTGGCTTTCTGGGCTGCAAGTGCACACTGAAGCCGGCTCATGTTCATTTTCTCATCAAGCATCACCCCCAAGTCCTCCTCCACAGGGCTGCTCTGAATCTCTTCCCTGCCCACCCTGTAGCTGTGCCTGGGATTGCTCTGATCCAGGTGGGGACCTTGCACTTGGCATGGTTTAACTTCATGAGGTTGCCATCAGCCCACCTCACAAGCATGTCAAGGTCCCTCTGGATGGCATTCCTTCCCTCCAGCATATCAACCGAACCACACAGCTTGGTGTCATCCGCAAACTTGCTGAGGGCGCACTATTAAGCATGCGTCAGATTTCATTTCAGATTACAATAAAACATGCATCAAATTTCATGGGATACATATCTCCATTAAGATAATACCCAAATACAAGATTTGTTTCTGAGTGGCAAGACACCTTCATCTCTCCCAGTCATCTGACACAGCCTAAGTTAAGCATTTCCACAGGACTCCATTACTTTGACTCAAACTGTTTTCTACATTTTACAATGGAAAATAAATATTCGAGTAAAATCTTCCTGCCCCTCGAGCATCAATAGATGCCTCGTGTTTTTAAGATGACCCAACACTGCCCAGACATCTCTTCTGTTCTCTACTGGGTGACTAGAAGACGTACCCTTAGCAGTGGCCGCTGAGCGTACAGTGACCAAAGCTCATCTCTGCATCTAGCCAGCAGGTGGCACACAGAGGCCACAGCCAGAGCTCACGAGGATGGTCATTGCAAGTTACAACACACTGATCGTGAGAAAAAGATAAACACCGGCCATCTATATTCTTAGTGGCATATATAGCATATATCTCTAAGGATATATGGACTGTAACTCTTCTAGGTAAGGCACCCAAAAAATACCGCAGGAAGATAAGAGGATGATTTACATAGGAAACATAATGAGACACTACATTTGAAACCTAAAATTATTATTAAATTGAATCCATACCTGCACACTAGCATACACCAGTTATAGAAGACAGGTGCTGCAATTATGGTCAGCCAGTTGTAGTAAATATTGCTTGAAGGATCTACCACAAAGATTTCTTTTTTCTTCCTGGAAAGTAAAACATGCAGGTTTACACTGGATATGTGATGAAGTGACCCTGCTGGACCTCCCTCTTCTGGAGGCTGCTCATCTCACAATGAACTCACAGCTGCCAGAAAAAAAAGAGCAGGTGTCCATGCAGGCAGCTTCAGATGAGATTCTAAATATTAGCTTCATCCCATCTGACATGCTCCATTTATTTGCTTGACCCAACTTTGGAAAAAGTAAGTATGAGTGGAAAGAAAACCAGAGATATTCATGCTGCCACAGCTGGAAACCAGAGTTTTTCTGCATATGACCCCCACCAAAACGAGTAAAATGTTAAATGTTTCTTATTACTATTCCAGCTAGAAGGCTATGGCCCATCGCTAGGAAAAGAGCCTTCCTTTGCAGATTAATTTTTATGGTTTTGGCAAATTCTGTTCTGGAAATGACTGCATGAGCACACACTTAAGTAAAACACCTATGTATTGAAATACATGTTTATACAAGTAAGACTCCATGTGTGCATACACGCATAAAGTGTGTGACCAGAACTAAGACGTGTTATTACGTAAAAGAAAAATTCACATATTCACAGTCGTGGCTCCCTAAGCCTCACAACAATCAAGAGACGCTAAATGAAGCATACAGGCCTGGAATGTAAAGATTTAAAGAACAGCATGGCTAATGGCACATGCAGAGTATGCTCAGAAGTGGCCTTCCCCAGCACAAGAAAAGTTGATATGGAAGAGACAGCAATTAGGCATCTTGTATGTAATCAAAGGAAATAGGTATTAGTGGATTGTGAGGTCCGCACCTGCAGAAGTTATTCCAACAGTAACATGATCTGTGAACTCTATACTAGTGTGGGACACATGTGACTGGGCAATGCTTCATATGTATTTGTGTGACTTTTCTTAATCCCCAAAAATGTAAATATATTAAAACGCAACGATAATTTATTTCATATTTGTGTATATTTCTGGCATTAACCTTGCTGAATGTCCAGATGATAATGCTAGCAAAGGAAGCAGCTTTAATCTAAAAAGTATTTACTTTGTCATCTTCACAACAGGTTTCAAGCCATTTTCTCTAGAAAACTGATCACCACCTCAAAACTGGTGACCATGAAATACGGTCTTCATGTGACAAAGTACAGTACCTTCTAGACATCAAATGTTTCTTTTCTTTGCCAAAATGTTTTAAAACCCTTTTGGCTACTGCAAAGCTCAGGCTCTCGCTATATGGTAACTGGACCCGAAAGAGAATCCTTAGAGCAAAGGCTAAGCAAATGAAACTTTGATTAAGAAAGTCAAGATCTTGACACCAAGCAGATTTTATCTCAGAGCGATTGGCAACTGCATGTTCCCATGCCTACACAGCACATGCCACCATATACATACACATAAACTTGCAGTATAGTACCTTAACCCACTCCTTAACTGTGAAGTCCATTCAAATGCATATTTTTATGTTATCACTGATATTTTTAATAACTGGTAAGAACTAAATTGTACTATGTTTGCGTGAACTTTGGGGGAACAAAACAGAAGCAGGATCCATTTCTGTCTAAAGCATTCAAATAATCTTGTTTGATCACTGAAAACAGGGCAGTTGCAAAAATACAGCATCTCCTAATCAGCAGAAGCAAACTTTAGTGATCACCAGTAATGAACTGCACAAATTAAGTAATTAAATATGCTAGTTGGTGTAATAAGTAAACTTACTAGTAAATCTATAATTCTCTACAGGCAAGGCTTTTCCTCTTTGTCCAAACCAGATTTTGGTTCATCTTGTCTGAATTATTATGGACATTCTGGAAGAATTAGAAGTCTGTGCAGATCTGCAAAGCAGGCTGCTAACTTTAAATGCCCTCATAGTAAAAAGTGATCTTCAACAGCAAATCAAAGTGAGTAGAAGTAGATGAATTCTTTTTACTGGCCTAGGAAGCTGTTGATGACATGCCTAAACACAGGTCTTTGAGATGCAACAAGTTTGTTTGGCAGCTGCACCTTTCCAAAGGGAAAAACATTAACAATTTGACAGGCTAACATTTTGCAGCCTACAGAACAAGTATTGTGGTGGAAGTGTTGTGATGAAACGCCATACTGTGCTTTGTGGTGTAGGAGGTATATTACAAACACACATTCATTCTTTATACTTACTCTTCTTTTTTTTTATCATCTTTTTTGTCATCTTTCTTTTCCTCTTTCTTTTCCTCTTTTTTCTCCTCTTTCTTTTCCTCTTTTTTCTCCTCTTTAACCTCCTTCTTTTCTTCCTTTTTGCTGTACAACATAATGTAAGGCTTAGCAATATTACTGATATTCTAGCAGCTAAGGGAGAGGGTGGATGCTGAGGTACAGGAAACTAGACTAGACTCCAGAGAGAGTAGGACAGGGATCCAACTGGTAAAAATGGTTTACTGGCTGAGACCTCTCAAACTGACACCATCACATCAGGTAACCAGCTGGCTGATTCGGTGCATTAGTTACCTGTGCTTTCTTGATCTCTTCAGATACCAGTGTACCAGGCTGATTTTACTTATATGTTTCTAATTTATTTCATTTGTTAGAACTCAAGCATTTAAAAAGATATAGAAGAACTTGAAACGGCTGACCAAACTGTCAGCATTCTTTGCAGATCCAAAACCCCCCAGAGACTGTCTGAAGCTTAATGGCAATTAAATGAAGCTGAATTTCCTCTCACATGTCTTTTAAACTAACATGGAGCATAGGCAGAGGAGAAAAGAACCTTTGGATTGACTGATCTTCTATTTATACATGCACCTCAACTCAAAGAAACAGTTTTCACTTACTAAGCCCGATTTCTACATGGGAATGAGAACTGCAACTCAAGTATTTATTTCTCTGCCACTGAAACCCCTGAACTTTGACTTCTTTTTCAAATCTGTCCCCTAAACTAACTCTTATTTAAAAAACATATCAGGATTTCACTGCACATTACTATGCATGGTGCCTGATCTGAAGGCCAAGTCACAGTTGCTGTTGCTAGCATTAACATAGCTCCTCAATACTTCCAAAGTCTGGCATTCCTACTAGAAAGGAAGAAATGTAAGTAAACATAATTTTCAAAGGGTAGGGCCACTGTAAATCTGTGGATGTTGACATGCAGGGAAATGTAGGTTGAGATAGAGAATTAATCCAGAAGTCTTAGTGGTGGTGAACTCTGGAGGGAATATTTTGACAATTCCAACTTCCTCCTCTGTTTTGTTTTTGAAAAGAGAAAAAAACACTTTCTCACACAGCATCTAATGCCAACATTTTTTTTTTCTCTGAGATCTACAAACTCATCTGTCAACTACAGGTATCATTCATAAGTGAGTTTCTTCCATTTCTGTGGCCCACTACCCATCTCTTTATTGTGGTAACTCCATATTTACCATACTCCCACCTACTTATAGGTGGAAGTCACTCAGAGGAACAGGATGGACATAATCAAAGACTACGTTCTGCAGTTCCCCAACTGCAGGCAGTTCTTAAGTCTTTAACATAATGAAAAGCTTCAAAAAAAACCTGCACCTTTTTTTTTTAATCAGTGCTCTTGAGAAAACTGGAATCCAGTAACTAATAAAGTGCTTGTTTTGTGACTGTTCTCTTTAACAGCAGTACAGTGGCATCCATTCTGTGTTCCCAGCACATTAAAAGGAGCATGCAACTTCAGACTTAGAAAACATGTCTTTGTCAGCCCCTATGAAAACACTGTCACAGTCTTTGAATGAATCAAACATTTGCATTTCCCATCTGTCAAATACTTCAGACTGTCCAGCAGGTAGACAGACAGGTTTTGTCTGCATTTACAAATAATGAAGCACTGGAAGGATGAAAGTTTTGCCCAAGGTACACCAGTCATTGTCAGAAAAAGAGTAAAAAAGTAGTATTTCCATCCCAATCGGCCCTTTGGGCCCTGACTAGCAGGCTCAGCTCCAGGCTTCTCGCACTTTTTCATACCAGTCTAAATAAAATTCTGAAAATTCTGTCACTGATCACTGCACAGATTTTCTTAATAGAAGTTATGCAAACCAAACCAAAAAGTTGCTTCAAGAGCAAGAAGACCTCTTGTTCAGGTATACGCACATTTTGGCTTTGCAGCATCATTTCAATGTACAGTTTGAACTAGCCTGTGATGGAACTATTTGTAGAGAAAACCAAGAGTTCCCTTTAAGTTTTTCTGACATAATCAGAAACTATCATGATTATTTTTGTTTTCATCTGGAAATCAATAAAAGGAAAAAAAATCTATCATCATGACTGACAACAGATCTGCTGCTGGATGCTACAAAGCAGATATGTCCTCAGACAGCTGTGGTCTAAGACATGCAACAAACATTGGTGTTGAGTGATGTTAAATCATAGTTCTTCATTCAGAGATTTCTCTTTGGTGTAACACTGTGAAATATCTTGTCAAATATATAAAATAAACTCCAAAGGATAGCTAGCTTCTGTCAGAACTTCCATTGCAATGCAAACCTGATTATGTTATCTGTCAATCTCTTTACATCTATACTAACAACATCTGTTGAACTGAAACATACATTTTAAAAAGACAGTTAGTTTTCATTTAGACTGTACACACTGAGTGTTTTCTTGGTACCCTGATCAGTATCCGCTTCTCATTTGACAACCTGAAATTTTTGGGGCACTTGATTTGCAAGAAGAACTAGTATGTTAAAAGAGAAAAGCCACTATTAGAAAATTAATACACACATCTCATTTAAAAACTGAATAATTAATAAACCAATTGGCAATGCAGCAAAATCAGCCAGCTGAACTAGAGGAGGTAGAGACTAAATGCTTAATCGAATTCACTCCTTGAGAGGTAAGCGTAACTTCAGACAAAAAGAAGTTCACAGGGGACACAAAGGATGCTTTTCATTCAAAGAAAACTAGATCTTTCTTCATAATCAAACTATATTCTTAGGAAAGACTTAGGAAGAGATAAGGAGTTTATACTACAAATGTTACTAGGTTGGAAAGGGAAAAAGAGAAGGAGCTAGTAGTCTAAAGGTGTTTGAAAGTTATCAATACTTACTCTTCGTTAGTGTTGTTGCTATAGTTGACATTAAACCTGGCCAAGGGCCAGCGGCTGCAGCAAGTTAAATAAAACACATTAAAGAGTGTAAAGACTATTGGTATTTCATACACGTGTTTATTGACATGAGGGACTGACTTACTAGCTTCTCACATCTGCACTGATGAGATTAGAAAGGTCAACTTTGACTGCCACAATAAGCCCCCTTGCGTAAGTATTTCAAGGCACTAGTTTCTTTTTACCATGTGCTTGGCATACACATTTGTGACCACATCTGATGTCCAAAGCTTGTTCTCAGGCATACAAGTGCACAGCAACATGCATTCTCACAATTTTTAGCCCTGTACTCATTTAGCCATTATTTTAAGCTTTCTTCAATCCTTTCAATCGTTTCAAGTCGTCTCCACAGATGCACTGTCAAGGCTTGTGGATAAGTAACAAGCATACCTACCACTGCTGCAGAGTTACTGTCACTTGGCAACAGTGTCAAACACAGAATACTCTGAAATTCATTCCTCCTAAGAGCCTCATGCAGAGGTTTGTTGGTCCATGATCAATGCTGTCATTTCTAACTACTTTGAATCTGCAGTTGCTACTGATCCAGACAGCTGAAAAAATCAGACAATCTGGCTAATGCAATAAAATGTGCCTTTGGGCTGATTTTCTAATGGGTAGATAAGTGAAGACAGTAAGCTCTGCAGGGCCACAACAGATGAAGGTAACGTGTATCACGCTCAGCCCTTCAAAGGTTCTTGCTTTAATCTGAATTACTAGCTGAGATTTTGAAACAAATAAACTTACTACTTGCTTGTCTACCAATCTTCAGCTATGCAAAAAAATATGGGAGTCTATGCTTTAAAGCACAATACCAAACAGAAAGTCAGCTCTTGTCTTGGGACTTCATTCTCCTCTTTCAGCTGAAGTTAAATTTAAAACACATATAAAGTAATGAGAATTCATCAAATCAAAAGATGTTAAACACAAAGTTTTCTCTTCCAAGCCTCTGTTGCTTTATTGGAGAAATTTTAAGGTTAAGACTGAACCTGCCTTCCATTTCAAAGACTAGGTAAGTGCCAATGTGCTAATGAGTGTGTGCTAATTAGCACATACTAATGAGTATGTGCCATTATATTAAGTCGGCAGCCAGAAGATTTTCTCATTTCTGCATCAGAAGCCTTCTTTAATGTTAACAGCTGAACTCATGAGTAGGTGTAACAAAGCAATGGCTCATTTTGCACAACTGCTGGTTTGGAGTTTCCTAACACTTGAAGATAATGTGCATAATATTAATGTCCTAAAAAGCCACAATTAGCATTCTTCAATTAGATTCTTCAAATAGGAATGCATTCATCCTTAGAAGAGAGGAGTTTAGCAGCATCAAGTTGCACAGATAGCGTATCATAAAATTCCAGTTCTGAGAACCCATTCTTGCCACAGTATATTTGAGGGGGAAAGAGAAAGTGTGCTGAAAGCCATAATACTTGAGTTATGTGAAGATTCCTGGGCAGCATTAGATACTCTGTTAGCTCCTGTGCTAAGCTCCTTATCCTCTTCTTAAAATAAAACTTCCATTCTAATTACCAAGAAAATACCATAACCTTGGACGTCTTTGTTTAAAGTATAAACCATCTTCTTACCTGTTTACTCCCCCAGGCTGCTCACGGATGCCCAGAAAGGAGCGGATGTTACTTTGCCGAGTGGACACCTCTATGAGCTCTGGCCCTCGGATACGTTCTAAGAAAGAATCAGGTCTTTGGTCTTCATGGTGCGTATGTCTTGTAGCCCATGACCTCACAGATACAACAAATCGTGATAGCCTGCATGGAACAGACATACAACATTGACTGAACCAGACAAGATCATCACATGCCTTAAGATGTCCCCACAAAGAGTAGCCCAGGATGATTTTTCTCCACTTCTCCACCTGCCACAAAATTAAACTTGAGGCATTAACTGCATGAAACCAGTCACTTCCAGCAATTTCATACATCATCTTTTCCAGTGTATCAGGAAAACTTCTCACATCAGTGAGAAGCAGAAGCAACAGAATATTATTTCCAAGTGGGGACAAACAAAGTAGTTGGGGTGGGGCAGTTGACTTCTGACAAGCTTCTGACATTATGTGATAATAGGGGAATCCTGGACTGACAGAATTAGATGATATAACGTAATTAATTTATCGTATCTTCACACATCTTTTTCTCTGGCCACAAATACACATTACATATCCTGAAAATGTTTTCTGCCCAAGTTCAAAAGGAAACCATACAGATCGGCCTCACATCATGCATTTCCTCAGCATTCAGTATATTTTAGATCTTATCATGTAAAAAATGCTTTACTTCTTTGTATTCAGACTAACCTGTGTGAGCTCATTCAGTATCTCAAGGATCCTAAGGTTTTTATTAGGAATGAGTAAGCAATGGGTTCAGAATCAAGGTCAAAAGCAGCCTCTGTTACTTCTTAAAGTCTTTCTTCAGATGGACTGCATCTATTTTCTTTGGAAAGTGATGGTTCTTCTTACTTTGCCTCCAAATTGTGATCAATCTCTTTCAACAAGCTAAATTTAATGCTGGAAATTATACTAGCATGTTACCTTGCCATTGCTCCCCTGCCTGCAAATGAGCTCGTCTGGGATTCAGATGCATGTCTTCCCCCCACAGGAATGACTCTCTGCAGTTCTGAAGACACATCCTCACACAGTGAATGGGTTCTGCAAAAGCAAGTTATTATTTTTTTTAATAATTTCAGCATAATAATACAGCAGACTTCCCCCCACCTGATTCTTTCCACCTCTACATCAGGAAGCAATGCAACAAATTGTCCTCTTCCTAGTAATATGGCATACATTTGACAAATATAGAGCTAAGCCTATATTCCTACTTCCCTGGAGCCATCCAAAATGAAATGAAGTCAGTGAAGGCTCTGCCATCCATTCCAGCAAGATCATGGAGTTTATCCCCGGGGGGCTTTAAAGTGACTGCCCACTGCTTTTTTCAGTGTTGTTCTCCTAGACATTTTTGGGGATTAACAGTCTGGAATTTGTACCAGTGCAGTTCCTATTTGTGACTCAAAGCAAATGCACATGTCCTTTTGCTTTCACTCCAACTTGGACTGTAAGGCAACATGGTGATTTTACAGTAGTTAGTCCTGAGCACCGCCACTGCTGTTCTTACCAGCCAGCTGCACAGCTGCAGGCCTAATGCTGCTCACTTCATTAACAGACACCTCACTTACGGCATAGCAAAACAGGCAGAACCTCAGAGCAGCAATGACATGAGGCTATTTGCCACATATGAAAAATACTGTAAACAGCCCAGTTGCATGCAACTGCACAGTGATTGTAAAGTTAAGCTACTTGCAGTGTCATGCCACGTGCAGTGTCATGCCAACCCCCGTGAGTACCCATCATTGTAAGACTACTTATTAGCACCAAAATAATTAACATTTGTGAAAATGACATTAGATTTTAGCCTCATCTTTCCATAACGGAGTTTTGAAATTGACTTCATTGGAACCTGGACATTACCAGGGATCACCCTGAATCTTTGTATAAGACTTCTGGGGTTTTCTCTGCCTTTTTAATTCTTCAGTATTCCCTTTTATGAAACTTCTTCACATCCATTAAGGATCACTTTTTCCGCCTTTGTAATGCAAACAACTCTCACATGAGTCTGTTAATCTGTATTGCCAGGAAAACACTGACTATAATGATACTTTGCAGTATCTTCCTAAGAACTGGCAACAACATTTTGAATGCCCACAAAAGGATAATTAGCAGCTGAGTTTTGTGTGTACTCATAGCTGAGAAACTGACAAACAGAGAATTAAAACTTTATTATTTCTACACAAACAACCATGCTACAGGAGGTATATCATTGGAGTCTTGGAATTCTCAACTTGTCAACTGTTTTCTTCTTCTATTCTAATAAGAAAACACCAATAGATACTGCTTAGTATTGACAATTTTATAACCTAGTTTATTTTGTGGGTGCTGAGAATATTGTGAACATCAAAGTTATCATGGCTTCTAGGGGAGAATGAACAGACTAATGGAACAGAAATCCATTATGGATTACCAGATACACAGAGTCTGCATTCAGCTCAAGAAATCTCCTGAGCTGGATGCTGGGACAGTATTAGCGGGAAGTATGTTGCAGATACTTGCAGTTTGCCCACTTGTTTTTTCCCTTTTTCCTGAAGCATCTGCCTACAGCCGTGCTGAAGCAGGGACACTGAACCTGTCATTCTTTTAGACTGCATGCTATGGCTGGTTTTAAGCCCTTCTATTCCTTTTTACAGAAAAATACACATTTTGTGTGATCTTAGACAGCAGTAAATTCTAATATTGCTACTTCTGTGCTTACTTACCAATTATTACTACTTTTGAGTCCTGAAAATATATTTTTAAAAGAAGATAGTTCAGTTCTTTGAAAATAATTTTGAGTGTCACAATTCAGATGTGAAAAAAAAAGAAAGTATTTTGCAGAAACAGATATGCTTTTGTGGATACTTAAGTCAGAATTTTTTATTTCATATTTGAATGGATTCAAAGTCTGTGCTCAATTACTGACTCCAATAATGAGGAGTAGCTCAAATGCAGTAATTCAACTACTTTTAGCAACTGTACATTAAATTGTTATAATTTACCCTAAACATAAGTTGTTAATTATAAGGGTCAGAAAATAAACAAGTGAACAATAATACTGAAAACAAAATAAACATGCATTAAAGTACTCTAGTATTTTATTCAAGTAGAAACTAAAATACAAAAAAAGATTATCAGAATGCATTCTTTATCAGTCTAAGAAAACTCTACACAGAGGTCAGGCCCAGGAAATCAGTCCAATCTAAAGCCTCAGAGGGAGATATATTTCAATTTCATTAGCCTGTATAAGCATACTGAAATAAAATGTACACCATGTGATGTTCTATTTTGATATAACTGTGCTGGTTACCCTCCAAGCAGCAGTTGAAAATTGCTGTCCAAAATGCACTGTTAAATATCCTTATTTGTTTTTGTAAACTTTTGTAAAAGAAAGGAGTGCCAGTCTCCCTTCTTACTGACTGTGATTGGGCACCTGCTGACAATAAATAAAAGGCTAAGAATTAAAAGTTCAGCTCATTTTGAGTAAATGTGCAGGAAGGCAATGCAGAATCATGCAGAGATAGCTGCGTGAGTTCTAAACAAGTTGGATCAGGTACCAAAAGTAATACTGTTCTACTAGCTCCACTTATCAGCACAGTCATACTTGCAAGTACATCATCTGTTAAGAGCTTTGTGTGCATGATCATCAACTCTGTACTCCTCAGCAGTGTGGAAAGCTGTGCTCCACTGTACCTACACAGGCTTATCATACTCAGTGTGTCTGTAACATTGAAAGTTTTACCAACTCTCTGTCCTCTTGCTAGCAGGAGCTACAAAGCACTTAATGCCACCATCTAAAACCTAATGTTTTCCATCCAGGGCATGGCCTTTGGTGTCCAGAGCCAGAAGTAAGTTGAAGAAATGTTTTCATCTAGGTGAAAGAAAACTGCATGCATATGTGACCTGATATGAACATCTTCCAATCTGATCTAGACTCCTACAAAATCAACTAAAAATTTCAAATTATTTAAATCACTCTCTGGTCACTCACACTCACTGAAAAACTTATATTCTGTAGGAATTCTGTAGTCTATATTTTTATTTTGGTTGCTTGACTGTTTTTAAAAAGAATCTTCTGATTATTCTATATGTGCACCAAGAATTTCTACAACTATGTTATAACTAAATATAACCATTTGTAATCAAATTCAGGTTTATCTCATAAAAAAAAATTATATGAATAACATGCGTATACCACTTCATAAAACCAAAATCATTTTGTGGAAACAGTGCTAAAATGCCTGTATTTCATTTTTGCAATTACAGCTTCTGTATATTTGCAACAGGATCAGAAAAAAATACACACAGGACTCCTACAGGCAACTCTTATGAAAGCTCCTGTTCAATATTACACAGCAATTACAAACACATTCCACTTTAATTCACACAAATGCAAATCAAATGTAAATCTAAAATGAACTCTTCCTTCCATTATTATAACTCCCTATTATAAAACTCACATACTCAGACTTTCCTGAACCCTGTTCAGTTAATACAAGAGGCTTTATTTGTCAGTTGGCTTTATATTGATGCAGAGGTACAGTTACAGACGGGGCTTTTGATGTAACACCCTCAGTGCATGTGGCACAGCGCTTACTTTATTTTCACAAAGACAGATGCATTCCCCTCTGGATTCCATTATCATGTTTGCCAAACAGTAACCATTGACATTACTACCCAAGGTTGTCACACAGTCTGAAATCAACAAGAGAAGAGAAAATACAGTATGCCATGAAATAGAGAACAGGTTACACAGCAGAAACATCAGCAGATGACTGTGCTTCCTCCACTTATGCTGAAAAATATTTTATTTCCCTGGGGGTAGCAACACCACTGTGTCTTAGAGAAAACTCCCTGACACTGAGGTTCCTACTCTATGCCTCTTCAGCTTTCTAAAGCCCAATTTATTCCTAGCTTTCATGGCATCTAGAGGTAAGCTCTGGGAAAGGTATTTACACCAGCATCTACTCTGTACCCATCCCTTGCCTTGCCTTGTTTTACCTCTAGAAACACTAGAAGACCATTTTCACCTAAAGTGCATGCAAATAATCCAGAATTTTCTTTTAGAAGTAATTGCTTTGAAGTTCTGATCAGTTAAACAGGAAATGCTGAAGCCCTTTTGATTAACAACTATGAGCCAGAAGTGCAGGATCTGACTCCAGATGGCAGTGACCTGAATTAGGGTGTCTAGTATAAACTCAGCATCTAAGTTCCTATTACAGTCAATTGCCATCTTAGAGCTTGATTCGGTTGCCTCAGTATAGGAGTCTAGTATGATTTGGAATACCTCAAAATACTTTATCTGACCCCTCCAGAGCACACTGGTCTCACATCAAATCCACTAGCCCTAGCAAAATGCTTCAGGTCCTCTATCATACATCAAACAGTTTTAGATGCCTATTTTAGGCAACTAAGTACTTCTCATAATCAACAGAGCCAAACAGGCCTGAAGAGCTATTGAGCTTTAGGGTAAGCTGAACAGTTCTCCAGGTGCCACTGTTAGTACTGACTACATCTTCACTGATGACAGTAGGAACTTAAGACGCCTGCTCATATTCAATTCATTCACACTGAAATACAGATATCTACAAGGTACAGCTGAATCCTACTTCTGATTTTTAGATAGACAACCTGTGTCTACAAGCTAATGTGCTGCCTGTCCTATCTGAGGTGTTGTTATACAGAGGCTGGATTTTAAAAATGAAGACTCATGAGGTATCTTTTGTTATGTTGGGTCTTGTTTTAACAAAATGGACTAACTTTATAGCACACTACACTGTAAGAATATGGGCTCATGAATCACCTACTTCAGCATAATTGAGAATGAGAGTTTAAACAACACTAGTAGTTTTCTGTTAACTATTGCAGTGAATGCTTTTCCTTGATAATACTTCATTCCACAGAAGAAATGCACTTAAGCATATCCTTAGCATTAAGCACAAATTTAACATCCAGCGACTTTAAGTGTACTACTTAGTTCTCATTAATTGCTTTGTTGAACTATAGCCAACAGAAGCTGAAGGAAGATAAAGGTAAAGGAGAAATGCTGCTACTCTAGAAAACCTGGGGTTTGGGTTTTTTTCCCAATGTCTATAGTTGTATCTTGCTACAAGTCAAAAACTAACTAAAATTCTGACTTTGATCTATCTTTCAATACAGACATATTCTAAAACAAATCTGAATTAAAAAGATGTGTATCAAAATTCTTTGAGTGGTATTAAAAAGGTATTGTATACACCTATTAGAAACTACTTCAGCAATACAAAAACCTTAAATATATCTCTTGCAGAGTAAGATTGTAGCTTTTTACTCATCTATGAACTGTAATTAATACTGCTAACAGCAAATTTTCTTTTAAATAAATGACTCTTCAAGACCATCATCATGATGATAAAGTGTGATTCATATTTCAGTCCCTCTGTCATAAGTAAATCATTGCCTCTGAAACTGCAGATGACTGCAGTGATTTAATTCTACATTTAAACCTTTATTACCACACTCTCAGATTCCTGACAGTAATACCATTCTGTGAGCTGCCAATCACTTATATCCTCTACAAAAAAAGAGATTTAAAAAAGGATACAAAGAGGTTGTATTAATATTTTGATATGCTTTTTCCTGTTCCTGAGATACGACTGTAAACAGAGACAAAGGGACACAAAGGGACACAACTCTTACAAATCTCCCTAAGGAGATCATGGGGTGGTATAACCAGTTCAAGCAAGCCATACTGTGCAAGATAAAAGCATTTTCACTGGTGTAGGTACACCTACATGACAGAAGCTATCATGCAAGCAAAGCAAAAAGGAAAAGAAGGACCTTAAACAAGGACCTTTGAACTTACACAGGGGAATTTCAGGTTAGATATAAGGAAGAAGTTCTTCCCTGTGAAGGTGGTGAGGCACTGAAACAGACTGCCCAAAAAAACGGTAAATGCTCTATTCCTGGCAGTGTTCAAGGCCAGGCTGGACAGAGACTTGGGCGACATGATCTAGTATGAGATGTCCCTAGGTTTTAAGGTGCTTTCCAACCCTACCTGTTCTATCATTCTATGTCCAAACAGGACAAGGATCCCACATATATTATATGCTAGGGGCATGCAATCCAAAATTATAATAACACAGGAACCCAGGCAATCTATCTGTCCAGTAAGATTCTGAGTGCTCTAGTCTGGGTACACATTTGAACAGCAAGAGAGTCTGACAAGGCCCACATAGCAGAGGTGGTTGACCGCAACAAGCCAAAAGCAGAACACTTTTTCCAGTTTTCCAGTCTGTACAGGTGCTGTACACTTTCCTGCAGGCCCAACAAGGTTTGCTTAGACTAGACAAATGACTGGTACTATATAAAATCTAAGTGCAAGCTCAGTGGCACATTTTAAACAGCCACATTAAAACTATCAAAATAGAGAAAGACGAATGTAAAAGAACTGTTACAGTTCCACCATACAAAGAGACTCTGAAAATCCAGTCAGAAAATGTTGTTATCCTTTATACACCATAGATGTTCCCTGTCACAGGAATTAGGCAAATCGTAGAGGCTACCTTTAAAAAAAAAACAAAAAACAAAAAACAAACTTTTCACTGCATGGCACTGGGAGAATCCTTTTTTCTCCAAAGCCCACAGAGTCTCTCTGGGGAATCACAAACCCTGCTATCGGCATGGGGACTTGAGAAAGAGTTTTCTCTTTAATGAGTTGGTGTAATTTCCAGTGCTGTAAAAATGGCTTTATTCCCGAGGTAATACAGATTCCAGAACTGGAAGTCATGACTACCTTCCCATTGCTGTATCTTCTCTACTTTGGATATACATTGGTAAGTCAGTTAAGTGCACGGGGTCAACAATACCATGATGTAACACTCTCACAATGCAGAGCTAGTGCAACACCACAAACTAGCAGCAATCTGTCCTCTTGACTTTGATGAAAGGAATATATTACCTGAGGCAGCCATTTTCAATCCTGGCAACATCATCATCAGTAGTTCTGACAGACAGCCTGTGCATACCAGGGTAGGAGTGCTGGGTGTTGATTTTTGCCATTTTGCTTTACATATCAACATCAAAATGACAGCTGAAACAGGGAAGAAAAAACATTTTGTGAAGTTCGCAAAAGAGGTGTGCTCAGTACTTCAAAAGAGTGATTTATTTAAACAGTGTAACAACAAAAAGCAATTTCAAGCATTTGAAGACTAGCCAGTGATATTTACACACACAGTATGATACCTGTTCCTTGATTTATTTGCACTAGTAAGAAAACAGTGCTAGTAAAAGTACAATAAAATTCATCATGAACAAAGAAAAGGGTTGCATGACACTGTATTATTTTTAGTTTCTCAGCTTTCTGAATATCCACACTATAATACCTATTATCCACAGTGCAATTGCACTTAAAATCTCATTAAAAGAAGGTTTCCGTTAGAAAGCCAACCAAAAAAAAGTTAGGTAATACATGTGCTAGGACAACCAATCCCACTTTAAGTTGAACCTTTGTGCCAATTTTACCTATTTTATGCCTTTTTTTAATTCGAAAAATACATATTAACTAAGCAGATAATTAATGAAATGTATCCCTCAGCTCAATATATGCCACTGATTAATTCTGTATTACCTAAACTCTGCACAAAACACATACTAGTTTTTTTTTCCCATTTATTTCCATATGTCATTTTTATTATGCTACTTAAAGACAAGCTCTGTTAAGATATTTAGTAGCCCATCTTCTACAAGATTTAGGAAATTGACCTAAATTCCTTTCCAGATTTGGTCTTTAGTGCCTTACCAAATTCCTTTCACATCTATCATCTGCAAAACAGGTCCTAAGACTCAAGACAAGTGTCTTAAAAACGAGAGACTGAAAGACTCAGTGAAAGCTTTGAATTTTGAAAAATGTTTTTAGGTTTTGAAACTCCATTCAGGAATCATTTTTGTTTGAGATATGACTGGAATGAAATTCTCTTAGATCACTCAGTAACCTCAGACCATCTGCTGTTTTCACCTGTAATCCTCTGTCTTACTGACCATACAATACTCCTCATTAGCAGCAAATGAAATGCAGACCTTACAGAAGTTAACATTCTGCTCTGAATTATTTCTGAAGCAAAGTTCACAATCCATGATTACGTTATGCATCCAGTTTCTTAAAAAAAACATACCTGACTTACCCTCCATGCATTTCCCAGAGAACTAAATGGAATCATATACAACTTTTAAAATAATTTAACATATATCAAAATAGAAAATACATTAACTCATTTTTTATTATCCTGAACAAATGAAATTAGTGTAGAAATAGCCCTTAGGCATTTAACACCTGAATATCTGATTAGTATTTCCCATTTTGCCTTAGTGTAGGTCAACCGGTATAGAATTATGTCTCACCTTAAACTGAGTCCTGTACATACTGGATAACTTATGTATTACTGGGGAAAAAGTGGGCATTTCTATTACACATTGACATAAAAAAACAGAGATCTTTCAAACAGCTCTCACATTTGAGCGCTCAGAACAATTAAAGTGCAGATGACATGCTAAAAAATGTAACTATGTATAAAAATGTTAACTAGAGAAGTTTGTTCAAAAAACATCTGCCAAATTATTTATATGTATGTTAATGCATATCCATTATAAATCAATGAACACATCTTTTAAAATTATTCAGCCTTTAAGAGACAAATGTTCCTATTAATAAATAAACTAGTCAAATGAATAGGTTTCAAAATATGCATGTGCCAAAGGTATCGAATCTCTAGGAAAGATTTTAATCTTTTTTTTTGTTATATTTAGTTATTATTTAGTTATATTTAGTAATATTATTTTTATTACTGCTTCTGCTACACAGAGAGTTGTGCTTCTACACATACTATAACACAGAATTAGATAGCTGACATGAAATAGTGCTTTGGCGATTAGGACATTTATTTTGTCGTAACAGACAGTATTAAGGTAACTCCTGTTTCTCATATATTAATTTGAACATAATTCAAGGTAAAAAGAAAACATGTTTTTCCTTCTGTTGTTACCAATTTCTTCGAAGTTGAGCTTGCCAAAATCTGCAAAAGTAGCCTACAATTTACACTCTGTCTCTCTGCCCAGGTTCCAAGACTTGAACTGACAACAGAACTACAAGTAGCCATGCTGTCATACACACTTGATTTAAAAACAGTGCAGCATGCTTCTTGCTGACAAACCGCTATACATATACAGAAAGTAAGGCACAGCAGCAAATTGCTCCTTCCTACCGATTGTTGTTCTTGCTGCCTATTTCATTTCCACTGCTTTGAGCTATACCAAGTATCACAAAAGATAACTTTTAAGAGTACAACGGCATAAGCTGCTTGGATTTTACTGCTCTGTATAGAACCCGCTCTCCTTTAAAGCTCAACAAAATAATTTCATTGGGTTTTCATAATCATAATACGATTCTCTACCACATTGCAGGAGGGAGAGAGGAGTTGTCACTCTTCCACTGAACAGTGTCATGTATTCCCCATGTATCTCCGTTAAACTTTCACTTTATTCTAGTTCAAGGTTTCAAAAGCTTGATGGTGGACAAAGAAGAATGATTCATAAGATAAGTAACAAAGCATTAACTTTTTCCTAAGTATGTATTTCCAGCACAGAATTAGTACTGAGTTAAGATCTTGAATAGTTCTGCCATTTAACACAACAATAACCCTGTCATTAGTTCTGGTGATCCATAATCAGGTTGATGTCTGTCTACCGCAGTTCTTAGACAAGGGTCTAAGGGTTTATAACCTCCAAGAAAATCAATCACTGTTTAAACAATAAAAGTTTAAGATAATAAAAACCTTCTGAAATCTAGCGATGATGTAGATAACTAGCTTCTAACAACATGTATTATCTCCCTGAAGAGACACATTGCTTCTGAACATGGAGAGTAATGAACGATGCCTTTCTATATTTCAAACGCTGTAGGTGTGACATATGAATTTCCAGGCCTGACAGTTCTCCATCCATTTCTGAAAGTTTGGTTAAAAAAACATGAACTACAGTATTTCCTTAAACTTCACAATGAAATAGTTTCTTCCGATGTTACTAACTTCCTAAATTTACATACTACTAGTTTGGAATTAGACACTACTAATAGATACTAGAATTAGATATTCCAAATCTCCTGGAATCATTCATGTATGCCACTGGAGCACTGAATACAGGAAACACTTGTATAACTTCAGTAGACTTCCAAAAGCTATGCCACTAAAGAAACAAAACAAGTCATAGGATATGATATATGAAACCAAACACTATTTTGGATAAAAAAAAAAAAACTTAGCTTCTTAGAAGGCAGAAAGCAAGAATGGAATTAAACCTTTACCGCTACAGAAGTTTAAGAACAATATTCCTCAGGGTTCCATAGAAAAACTTCTCATTAATGATGAAGACAAAAAGAAAGCAGTGAAACAAGATCTCAGGATGGCAAAAGTACTATGGGCAGGACAAATAAAAGGAGTGCAAGGAATTTTAGGATGACCCACATCAACTAGATCAATCTCTCAGTTTGATGGCAAGCAACATGCAATGTAAGCAAATGGAAATCAGTGAATACACGTGAAAAATATGTAACCTACTGCCTTGTGTGCTTCCAAATTAACCATCTGAAGCTCTCAGAAAGGGAACCTGAACACTATATATGTACAGCTAAGTGAAATGCCCTGTTCAGTGCAGGGCAGGCTTGCTGACATAATAGCTAACAATGTATACATGGAAAGTGGTAATGACACAGCAAATTCTAAAACTGCTCCATGAAACAACAGTGAAAATTATCTGGAACACTATTAGTCCTTCTCTTAAACAGAAAGATACTGCAGAATAAAAGCACAAAAAGAATGATTAAGGACACAGAAAATGGGGCTTGCCCACCCTAGAAAGGCAAAGAATAAGAAGCTATACAATAAAAATATGGAGGCAAAATTTGTGCTCATTTCAGAGCCCTTGCAATTATTTCAGCTCAAAATCCAAATTCAATACACATTGTGGTCTGAACACTTGCTCTGCACTAGACTGGAGGAAAGGAGGATGTAAAAATCTCACAGAAATACAACTCTACTATTAGCAATAAAATTTACTAATATATTTTTGGAAAGAGGTAGGGAGAGTGGATGAAGGTTCACTGTTAAATTGTGCTGTGCATACCCACCTGTGGTAGAGAGAGACAGAACACAGGACTGGTAGAAATAAAGAGGTAATTTGGGTACAGTGAAGGTGGTGAAACATTCTAAACATGGTTTGGCCCTGCATGAAGCACACAGAAATCTGACAAATGACTGACTATCCAATACAGAAGAAATACTTGCTCCTTCTAAGCCTCCAAGATTCCTAATGGTAAATGTGTTTACTGATCTAGTGAGGAGATCAGCATTTCAAAGCCAGATCCCAAATCTGGCAAGCAACTGACTATGGAGCAGCTTAAAAAGAGCATGGGGCCGGCTATCAGGAGTCAACCAGAAGGAAAGTGCTGCAGAGGCATAGGTCTCCCAGAAAGTCTTTGCAGGGCCACAAAGAAACAACTCCAACTAGCTGGGATCTAGAATTGTAAAACTGCTATAGAGAGCTGATGTTTAGAAAACAGTTTTCAGAACTCAGTAGAGGCTCAGCTTTGTATTTAAACAGTTCTTGCAGTAGCATGGTGGGTTAGCCTTGGCTGGCTACTAGAAACCCACCTGGCTGCTCTCTCACTCCCTCCTTAGCTGTCCAGCAGAGAAAGTAAGATAAGAAAGCTCATAGGTCAGATAAACACAGAAAGATCACTTACCAATTATCAACACAGGCAAAGCAGACTCAAACTGGGGAAAATTAATTTAATTTATCACCAATTAAAATAGAGTTGGAAGGTGAGAATTAATGACAAAACACCTCCCTCCCTCTTTTTTTCCCTGGATCCAACTTCACTCTTACATTCCCAACTCCCCCACCCCAACCAGCAGTACAGAGGGTTGCAGTCAGTCCACAATGCTGCCTCTCTGCTGCTCCTTCCTCCTCACACCATCCCCCTGCTACAGTGTGGGTCCTTTGCACCAACTGCACTCTGTCACAAACTGCTTCAGTGTAGGTCCACTCCATGGGCTGAAGTCC